TAGCAAACCTATGTGCCATATACGGCTGTCATTCCCATTTCACAGATGAGAAAAGTACAACAGTAGTTAAATTTTTTGCCCATACAGGAAATACAACACCTAAAAGTGTTGCAATTGGAAACACCACACTGGCTTTAGGGCCACAAGGAAACCTGACAGTCAGACATCAGGTCAGCAAACTTGTAGTTAAGAAACAGACCAATAAGTGTTTTTAAAAACCGTCATCTTGCCAGACGCAGTGGCTCACTCCTGTAATCCTAGCTTTTCAGGAGAATGTGGCAAGAGAATCTCAAGTTGGAGGGCAGACTGAGGAATTTCGTGAAACCCTGTCTGAAATACAATAAAAAGGACTTGGTGATACAGCTCAGTGGAAGCACGCTTGCCCCGCATGCACAAGGCCCTGGGTTCACTCCAAAACACAAAGCTGTCATCCTGCAACCTAAGGCTTGATCTCATTTGTTTTAGCACCAATTCAACAATTTTTTAGACATGTGTCATCTTGCCTGTAAACCTGCTATTTCTGTTTCTTAAAATCCAGTGGTGTATTATTTACCCTACCTTCTCCACCAGTTCACCAAGCACATTCAACACAGAGCTGGACTAAGTGTCAGCTTTACTGGCAGTACCCTCTGTGTTTAATTACTCATTTTGTTAAAAACTGGCTATTCCTCGTTTGTCATTTGCAGTTATAAAAATGAAACTGTTTAAAACAAAAACAATTACTTTCCTTCAGGAGAAGGTTTGAATGACTCAAAGTATTACAAAACAAATTATCGGTAAGGACTTTAGCAGCTGAGGACATCAAACAGGGCTCCAGCTCTTTGTACTTCCACTCTTTCAGCTCATTCGGGTGTGGGTGTGTGTGTGGGTGTGTGTGGGTGTGTGTGGGTGTGTGTTCCTTTCACTAACTCTCATCCGCAAGTATTCACCAGCAGCTGGTGTGTACAGGGGTGATAACAGGGAGGTAATGGTTACCAGTCCCATACATTAGACACAATATTGAATACATATAATTATAAAAACAGTTTCAAATCCTGTTCAGAGTTGTTTGAAGATACTTGCCTATTTAAAAAAATCCCATTTTCCGAGTACTTGAGGGCACTCCATACTTTAAATTTCTACCCTGGCTTCCTCACATTCACCCCAGTTTAGTAAATTTAAGGTGAAATTGATGTTTTTCCTATACAATTTGCCATAATATCATATAATACCCCATCTAAACAATACGGTTCTAAAGAAGGCCAAATGTAGTTATCCTTTAAATCTCTATCAAATCAAGTTATTCCAGCATATAGGTAGTTGGCACATTAAATCTTTATTACTTGAGAATACTCTATTTTTATCTTTAAGACAAAAGTGTGTCAGCCTGTATAACACTGGGATTTGGCCAATTGCATGTGCAGATTTTTCCAAAAATCAAATATTTTGGAAAAATCACTGGACAGATTTCAAATAAGGCCTCACACTGAAAACTTGATTTGCCATTAGGATTTACTAAGCTGTGTTGGCGTTTTCATGTAAAGCGGGAAGTGGCTTTGAATACACCACCCTAGTATGTCTCCAGAGCCCCGTGTGTTAAAGGTTTGTTCCTGGCGGCAGCATACCGGGAGACGCTGGAACCCTACTAGAAGGTCTTGTGCTAACGAGGGGTGTGGGGCCCCAGGGTCCTTTCACTCTTTCACTCCCTGCCAAGATGTAAGGCCTCACCACAGATCCAAAGCAATGGGCCAACTGGCCAGGGACTGAACCGCCCAAACCAGGAACCAAAATAAACCTTTCTCCTCATAAACTGATCATCTCAGTGTTTGTTACAGAGCTGGACACGTGATTGATATGTATCCCAGCCATGGCCCTTTTGCATAAGGATTATTCTAAGCTGAAGGCAATGGAGAACCAGCAGGTGCTGGAAGTGTTCCTGGTCCCTGGCTTTTCTGCCCAAAGGCAGGGCACTGACTTCCCATTGGGAAGGTGTGTCCTGTCTCCAGTACCAGGAAGGGGACATCAAATCTTATCACCAGAGATGGGCATTGGCTCAAGATAGGTTAGCATGGACAAACTTAATTGTTATAGGCAGCTGAGTTAGATAGAAATATTATAGGCAGTTAGACAGGGCCAGGCCCTCGAAGGTGCCAGTGCACAAGATAAGACACCTTGCAACTGTGGAAGGGACAGACACCTCTGCTGTGGGCCAGACCTCAAGACAAAAGATAAAACAGATGTACCTACACACTTCCTAAGGATAAACAAGAGGGACTGATATTCTAAATGGGTACTGATCACTTTGAGAAAGCCAGGAAAAGCCACTAACCTAACCCCCTATGGAAAAGCCCCTGTTCTGTATTCAGGTCCATTGCTAGATGACTTGCTTTCCCATTTGATCCTGATTTAATCAATTTTAGCTGAGCAATTACACTCCTAATCCTATTGGTTAACCATAGTTTTTTGCCTGGGGTCAGACTCACACAGAGGCCAAGTCACTGAATATTCTCTCACGTGTCCGGGTCCTCAACAGGTGTGCATTTGGGACTGCATAAGGCATCCTCCACCATATTGTCTGGCTATGTCACCCGAAGTCTACAGACAGCAAGCAAACTCCTATTAAGAAATGCTGTCCACTTTAGAAAACGGTCCTAAAGTACGAGAGTCACCTTCAGAGATGCCACGGAGGGATCCTACTAGCACCAGTGACCATGAATTTTCTGTGCACTGGCCAAAGCATATAGTGCACTTATCACTGGTGAGCACTGCATTTTCAGTACGGATTAGGTTTTTCTCAGATTGGTTTCTGTGTAGCTCTCCACAGAAAAAGGGAAAAATCAAAGTGGGCCAGTGCAGGTCGAATTTGCCAAGTGGGGATATTTGATTTAGAAAGTGCTGCTTGTGAGGACATCCCACAGTCTGGCCAAGATGTGAAGAGGTTTTCAGGTCCTAAAACCCAGCTATCGTTATTACAGCCCATATTAAAACGTCCTGCAAACCCCAAACCAGAGATAAAGTGGTTTGGGGTTCGCAGATGCACTACTGTGGGACAACACACGCAGAGACATCAGCTGGCTGCGCGGGAGGGTAGAGGAATGCTCCTGGGGAGAGGGCTGATCCGGGCCTCTTCAGGGTGGAGAACGTTTAATACACTTGGGTTTTCTGAAAGCTCCATAAAGAGCCAAAAACCCAACAGCTGCACACAGTTCAGATAAAGAACCAAGGCCTCAACTCCTAATTCTTGGGGAGGGGGATGTAGTCCATAATGTGTCACCCACAAGTCTTACTTCAGGTCATAAAGCTGTGGAAAGGAAAACACGGTCTTTTTCTGACTAGGGCTGCTTGAGGCTCCCGGACAAAACAAGTCTCTGCTGAAGAGAAGACCCTCGTACCGAAGGGCCTCAGGCAGGATTTGCCGCACACGCAAGTCAAAGCAGGGTCAGAGGCAGGCCTTCCTCCGTTCTGCTTCTCCCCCAGATGCAATGCCAGCCCCTGCAGGACCCTCTTGGCCGAAGTCCAAATGCCCTCAGGCTCCTCATGTTTGACAGTCTGGATGCAAAGGCAAGGCAGACACCCAGCACTGAGGGCCTTCTCACACTGGGCTCGGCCCCCAACCCCTGAGCGCTCCCTTCCCTTCCAGCTGCAGTTAAACTCCTGGGAGGGGTGGAATCTAGGACCTCAGGCAAGCTGGGTTCCACCACTGGGCCACGCCCCCAGACCACAAGTGAGCTCTTTCAGTACTTTACTGCAGAGGGCAGGGAAGGTCACCAGGGCCTCCAACTGGCACAAGCGTGTGGGATGGGGAATCTTACGCTGAAAATGGCAACTCCAGATCAGAATGGCACAGCTTTGCTGCTGCCTCAGTGGCTCAGAAGGACAGCAGTCCGCTCCCTCTGTGGAAAGAGCATCACACAGGATGAATGGCGGTCACAGCCCCAGGCTAAAGAATTCCAACTGGAAACTCTTAAAATTAATAATCTTCCATGAATTTACCTAGCGGCCGACAGAAGACACTGCACATACAGTTTGTTTTGAGTCGTGCATGTTTATAGTCTATTATGTATTTCGTTTGCTTAAGAATATATGTTTTAGGAGACTTTCAACACCAGAAAAAAGTGTTTCCAAATGGATCATGAGTCACAGCTGACGGCTGTGTGAGAAAAGGAGCGGGGGTAAGCACAGGATTGCATGTAATCTGTCGGGCTGTCAAACTTTAATGACTCTTTCTGCCAAAATGATTTTGTTCAGTTAAAACTAAAACTAACCAGATGTATGACAAATATTTACAGTCAGGGTCAAGAGTGTTTACTCTTAGGCAGTTAGCTTTTACAACTCAAGAGCTCTGACCAAAGATGAACTGAGAGCAGCCTGAGCCGGTATTTAGCGCTCCTTAGAAAGCCATAAACCCACCGCCTCCGTGCCCAAAGCCCACCCTCCACCTTCCGAGGGATCAGCCAGAAATATCGATGGTGACGTTTATCTTCCCATGGCAATATCTATTTTTAAAGACCAGCACACACAAACACATACAATATGATATGTTTTCCCTTAGAAGTCCAAACTGCCAAATAATTACCACATTTCTAATTTTAAATTTGAGTTAACAAACACCAAAGCAGAAGCTGAGGTCTGATTTTAATTTTTGCTCTCCTAAAATTAAACGAGAAAGTCATGTACTCATGTTCTTATTACCGGGGGCAAACTGTTTTTTTTTAAAGTAAGTAATTTTTTAATGAAATGTAAGAGGATTTTTTGAGTTATTTACATACATATATAACACATATATAAGCAAATATAACAGAGAGGGAAGGATTACGCTAACCAATAACACTCTAACCAATAACAGCCTCTTTCCACAAAGTAGGAGGTTGTCTGAATTCCATGTTTCAGAATATAATGATTTCTCAAAGATCAGTTTTGGTATTAGCAACATAATAAAAGCTATCAGAACTGTGAAGGGAAGGTAGACATATCTGCATTTAAAAATGATCACAACACCCATAATAATCAGTAGAACTTACAGATCTCCATGGTTATGTTGCCAAGTCTTGACTTATTACCTGACGATGAAAGAGAAGCAGCAGCAGAAGAAAAGAGGATGTGAGAAGGTCAAGAAAAAAAGAAAAGGTGGAAAGTAGAGGAGAGGAAAAGAAAAAGGACAGAAAAAAGAAAGGAAAAAAGAGGAAAGAAAGAGAGCAAGGGAAAGGGGAAAGGGAAGAGAAAGGGGGGAAGATGGAAAGAGGAAAGAGGAGGAAGGGAAGGAGGAAGACTCCTTATATTGCCCCTAAGTACCCACCCCGCCTCTGGCACACCAAATAAGGACAGATGGCAATTCGGACAGTCAACCGCGTTGGTTATTTTAAAAAGTCCATTCAGCTCAACAGCTGAGCCGAACTGTTTTTGATACACAGTCATTAATCCATTTAAATCTATTTATTCATCTACTCTCCATGCAAGGGTTAAACACAGCAAGTGAGGAAATATTTTTGCCTTTTTAATCCATGTATTTAGTAACAAGATTACTGAACTCTTTCAAGAAACTGGTAAGTCTTATACTTCTGAAAAAGAAATCCCTCTAATCTATTTTGATTTTAGTTGAAAAGAAATACAGAGGGGAGTGATCTGACCTCCGGTGTTATTCTAAATACAAAAACACGGGTACTTCCTGTGAACCTGTGCTCAGAACCAGCAGAGAACTGCGGGAACTAGAAGGAGGAGGGCTGCCCACAGTGGAAGTTCTGAACAAAGGCACTGGACTCCCGAGAGTGGGAAACCGAGCGGGTCGGGGCATCCTGGACTGAAGGGAACACGGACAGAAAGGGAGTGGGGGAGACAAGCTGCACCCGGGGAGCGGCGTCTGCCACTCAGGTGGTGGAAGAGAGTAGTTACTGTATAACAATGTACACAAAGGCCACAGAGAGGAAAAGGTGACCAACTCATTGCACCAAGAAATAACGGCTTCTCACCGCAAGCAATGAGACCGAAACGTGAGTTTCCATTTACTACAGTTTAGGTCAAACACGTCTCCACAAAGAGTCCCGTCCCATAGCAGGGATGTGGAAGACGGTGAGATGACCGGGTGCTAATTTCATCACTGGGCTACACTTGGAAGTCGGTCTCTGGGGGCCTAACCTGGAAAGCTGCGTCTTTTCTTTGACTCTTTCCCCATCTCTCTGCTTCCTGGACGCCACGAGGTGAGCAGCTGTCCTCTGCCATGATGCTTCTGCTTTGGAGCCAGCTGACTATCGATTGAGACCTCTGAAACCAAGAGCCCACAGAAACCTTCTTTCTGAGAGTCGTGTATTTCGGGTGTTCTGTCTCAGCGATGAACGGTGCCTAACACACCATGCTCACCAGAGCTCCAAAGGCCATCAGAACAATCCCTGAGCGGGGCCACGGGCAGAGGTGAGGTTCCTAACCTTACATGTTAGGCTACACCATTCAGGGATCTTACTCTCCCTCCACCTCGCATCCCTACAGTGCCCGAGAGCGCTTGTCTCACTCTGTTGTGGGTTAATGTTAATAATAAACGTTCCAGGGGAAACTGAATACCCAGCACAACACACACACACACACACATACACACACACACACACACACATCACACACACATCACAGGCTGGAAAGCAGCAAAGAAGTTCAGATACGAGAGCTCCAGGAGTTCGTAAGGGCAGCATCTACTCTTCCCATCATGCTGCCTGATTCCACATACTTTCTGAACCATTAAAGATTCTCTTCAGAGATTTTGGGGAAATACACAAAATTGTTTTGGGGGCTGGGGATAGAACCCAGGGTTCTGCACATGCTAGGGAAGCACTCTACCACTGAGCTACATCCCAGGCCAATGCATAAACCATTAGTAACCGCGGTGAGGACTCTAAAATAGCTGGGACGAATGAATAAACCATGAGCATTTCGCACGGCTTGCTTGGTAAATTCAAAATCTTACACAAGAGCCATCACCACGAAGTGTCCTGACCGTGCACACCGCAGCCTTGGCTCCCCAAGGATGTCTTTAGTTCATATCTCCGCATTTCAAAAAGCTAAAAGTAAGAACAAACAAAGGACCATTTCCACTAATTTTTCACAGAACCCAGTGACCTTAAACCCAAACACACAATTAGGAAAGAACAACAAAGCTGCCAAAGCACATGCTGCGCACAAATTAGAGGCTAGAACCTCCCCTCCTGCCACTCTGTGTCCAAGTTCAAAGCGCTTCCTGCCCACACTGCCCATTAAGCAGTGCGGCCTTGTGAGGCCGGCGGGAAGAGTTCAACACAAACATCGCCAGCGACGGCGAGACCGTGGAGCACAGGTCTTCGAAAGCACTATCCAGAATGTGCAAGTGAACAGTTACTGTGTCTGGGGCCACAGAGAACCTACACAACCATATCGTGTGTGCGCGTGTGCGTGCATGTGTGTGTGTACACTTTAACTGGAGATATGTCTGTGCAGTTTGGTGGGAGGAATAGGGGATCCCGAAATATTTCTCTCAGATGAAATAAGCTTGTATTTCTTCTGAAAGCAGTGTATTAGCCAGGTGTGATGGCACATGCTGTCTTGGTTATTTTTCTCTCGTTGCTGAGACAAAATACCTGACGCCCAGCATTAAAGGGAGAAAAGGTTTATTTAGCTTCATTCCATACTCAGCTGGCTCCAGGCAGCATTGGCATATGGCACAGGGCAACCGTTTATGGCGGCAGAAAACAGCAAAGCAACCAGAGCAAAAAGGGAGGAGCAGCAGAGGGAAGAGCAAGCCTCTTTCCTTCCCTTATATTCTACGCAGCTACCCGCCCCAGGGGGAGTGTAGCTCTCACACCCATAATCCCAGCAGTGGACCATGGATCAATCATAAACTCTAGAAGCCCGCCCCATGACTGCATGAGGCTTTGGGGGGACATCCAGACACAACCAGAATACATGCCTATAATCCCAGCATTCTGGGAAGATAAAGCAGGAAGATCTCAAGTCTGAGCTAGGAAACTTAGCCACTTAGTGAGATCCTTTGCCGCAGTACTACAAAAACAAAACCACAAACAAACAACTCCCCAAAACCAATATTTTAGATTTTTCCCAGCATCACAGATAACACGGACAGGTCAGCATGCAATGCACTCTGGTTCTCTCGCTCATACATGAAGTTCAAATCCATTTCCTCTGGCCCTACACTGTCTGCCACTTCGGCAACAGTAGTTAAATAAAATTGAAATAGAGTTTGAAGTTCAGTCCCTCAGTTTCATTCACCGCCTTTCTTTTTTCTTTTTCTTTTTTTCTCTCTCTTTTTTGAGACAGGCTCTTGCTCTGTTGCCCAGGCTGGCCTTGAACCTGCTTCAGCCTCCCGAGGAGCTGGCGTGACAGGTGTACACCACCGCCTCTGACAGCACTCGCTGCGCTTTCAAATGCTCAGCAGCCGCCTGTGACCAGGGACTGGTGTACAGAACAACACCCACACTTCCCTTGACACTAACAGCCAGTCCTCTGGAAAGCACAGGGCTGGCCTCCTGGCTGCCCCGACCTTGCTTCAGTGGGGGGACAGGGCCCCTCAGAGAGAGCCACGCGGTGCAGCCGGGGGAAGTCCTCCCTCGCTTTATACAAATCACCTGAAGACTGTGACTTCAGCTGCTCCTCAGTCCCAACCTCTTTAAAACAGTGATGAAAACCATGCATCCACTCTTCATTAACCGACCTTTCAGAAAAAGGGACAATTTCCTTGCAGTTTGCAGGAGCTGTCCTAACCTTCCAAACCCTGTTTGTGGATTTCAGTTTAAAAACATCTGCCTAACAAAATCACCGCAACCGTGGTCACCTGAAACTCAGCCTCCTGTAGGAGCAAGTTGGTTTTCCTGTCCTAAGCTACCTGTCAGTCTTTTCCTTTGTTTAACATTTTAATTCACTGTAAACATCAGCATCAGCTTTCATGTTAGTCAGCAACGCTCTATTCACAGAAAGTTGCTGAGAAAACTCCTCCATCGAAATACCAAGGGACTCTGTTCTCCTCCAATCCTAACAGCATCTATTTACCAGCTGATCAACACTTTCAGCTAGAGCTACTGAATAAATTGTAATTCACTTTTAGTGAAACAATTATCTGGCAAAGGACAAACTTGGAAATGGTTATAGTCCTATGAACCAAGAACGTACTTTCGCCTTTTGCAAAAAATAAAAACAAAGACGGCATGTAGCTGAGTGGCAGAGGGCTTGCCTAGCATGCAAGAGGACTTAGGTTCACTTCCCAGTACCACAAAAAAGAAAACAAAGGTATAGCATACAGTGTAGGCAGGAAGACAGCTAATGGGCTAGTCTGTATGAAACTGGCTTCCACTGGTGATCGAGGTGAACAGAGAAATCATCCTAGGAAGATAAGTACAGACTCCAAAGTTTCAGTTGTAAGAGATCCCTAACTCTACTAATGATAAACAATAGTTCATCTAATGTTACTAAATTCTTTCTAAAACCATCTCAAAGTCTCAGGCAAACTAGAAAAAGATTTTTTCTAGTACTGAGGATTGAACGCGGGGAGCACAGAACTGTGTCCTCAGCCCTTTTTAGTTTTCATTTTGTGACAAGCTCCTACTAAATTGCCTAGTCTGACCTGGAATTTGCAATTCTTCTGCCTCAGCCTCCCCAACTAGCATTTTTAATTTTTGCTAAGTCTCATAAAGTTTTGAGACAAAGTCTGAAAGCAACAAAGAAATCACTTCAATGATTTATGTCTGCATGTTCTGCTTGAATGAAACTAAGGACAACCTTGACCTCAGCAGTGAATCAACTTTTTATGGATAGTGCTTTACAACAGCGGAGAGAACCTGGATTAAAACACATACAGTAGTTGAGTTGTCCTTGGCTATATCAAAATATTGTTTAAAAGCTTATCCACATGATAAATCTAAATTACAGGTGAACACAGAATTTCAGAAGACATAATGTGCAAGTAGAGATGCTCCACCTAACAAAGATCTACTTTGAGTTAGGGACCGTGGCACTTTTTTTAACCATTAAGGTCTGACTGACAGATAAAAAGTGCATATCCATTAGATGTAAATGTAATGTTTCGATATAACAGTCAAACTCACAGAAGCTGAGATGAGAAAGGTGGTAAACAGGATGGAACTGGGGAAGGGAGAG